ATTGAATGGATGAAGAGAGAGCTTGTTACAGATACTTTCTGTAGAAGGCATCTATACAGTAGTGCCACAGTTTTTGAATAATAAAGTATTTCACTCCGAGAGGTAGGTAGAAAATAAAGGGAATGTGTCCTACCGAAGCTTTTGAAATATAGCAGGCAAACTTTTCATGATTTTATTTAATCCTTACGAGAACCTTGTGAAAGAGAAGATATTATTCTTTTAAAGAAAAAAAAAAAAAAGGCAGAGTTACAGGGAGAGGTAATGAGAGAGAGAGAGAAAGTCTTCTGTCCTTTGGTTCACTCCCCAAATGGCTGCAACGGCTGGAGTTGGACCAATCTGCAGCCAGGAGGTTCTTCCGCGTCTCCCACATGGGTGCAGGGGCCCGAGGACTTGGGCCATCTTCTACTGCTTTCCCAGGCCATAGCAGAGAACTGTATTGAAAGTGGAGCAGCCGGGACTCAAATCAGTGCCCATATAGGATGCTGGCATTGCAGATGACAGCTTTACCTGCTCTGCCACAGCGCCAGCCCCAGTATTGTCCTTTTGATTGATGGGGAAACGGGCTCAGAGAAGGGAAACAACCTGCTGACTTATTTTAGGGAATTAGGATTTAAATCTAGGAGTCCCTGGTGTGAGTTCATTTTCTTTTCCTCACATTATTTTGTCTTCCACTTTATCTAGAAAGCCACCGTATCATTAGCTCTCGTAGTAAGTGCAAGGAGAACATTATAAAGCCTGAAAAGGAAACTATTACCATAAATTAAGAGATGTTAGACCCTCCAGAAGCTTCCTTTATAGGAGTTGAAGGTCATAAAAACAATATGTAGCAATCTTACCCTTAACAGCCTTTTATTGAGGTACAGAATTATAGGATGCTAGAGCTAGAAATAAAATGTCTAGTGGTCTTGCATATTTAGTTTGCAGATGAAGAAACAGATCCAAAAGGGTTGCCATTCTCCTTAGCTAGTCCTGGACATATCTTAGCCTATGAATGAGGTCTGATTTCCTATCCAGTGTTCTGTACTTACATATGTGTGACTTCTTGTTCTTTACCATCTTTCCCCTGTAATGGTCCCCTAGAGAAAGAATAATCTTTTATATACTAGTACTCGTATATACCGCATTACCATAGTCTCTTCCCACTCTGCTCTTTTCATGCTCATAGACGTGGCTGGGTTTTTAGATCTCCTGAATCCCTGTGTTTGGGACACCAGAAGTACTACATGTGTTTACTTATAAGAAACATAAAGCCAGGGCTAGCGTTGTGTTGCAGCAGGTTAAGCCACTGCCTGTGACTCTGGCATCCCATGAGTGTCCATTCAAGTCCTAGCTGCTCCATTTCTGATCTAGCTTTCCACTAAAGTGCTGGGGAAAGCATGGCCCAAGTACTTGGATCCTTGACACCCACGTGGGAGCCCAGATGGAGTTCTAGGTTCTGGTTCGGCCTGGCCCAGCTCTGGACTTTGCAGCCATTTGGGGAGTGGACCAGCAGATGGAAGATACCTCCCTTCCCTTTCCCTTTCTTTAACTGCCTTTCAAATAAACAGAATATCTTAGAAACATAAGGTCAACTGTGCTATTTTGCAGAACTCATCCAGCTAGTTTCCCTTATTAGTAATCTTACCAGAAACTGCATTTTTAGTTCATATATAGTTGAGATGACTGTACAGTAATTAACAGTTAAGTCTTGACCTTGGCTTGAGATCATTTGAATTCAAATCTCAGCTCCACAATTAATTGCTGGACAAGTTACTTATTTCTCTGAGTATGTGTAACCTGCAGGATGGTAGTAGTAATCTCTATCTTGCCGTGGTAGAATTAAGTGAAATCAAATATCTGAGTGTGTCTTGTCTGTTCTCACTCCTCAGAACCCAAAGATCTGAAGTTCATGAAAAGAGATAATCAGAGGGTTTTATGATAACCTGAACTGAAATATTAAAAATAACTTTTGACTGTAAAGTAATAATAAATATAGGAAATACTTTTATATAGAGATACAAGAAAATAATAGTCATTTATAATTATGCTCAAAAGGCGGTATTTCTGTTTTCCCTGTGTTACATTTTAGTTACTTTTGGGTGGTCAGTTTTATAACTTTTACTCAGGTTATTTCTGTTAGGCTTAAACTATAGTTCATTCCTTCTCTTACAGAAAGTTTAGAGGTAGGCAAGGGGAGGCTGCTATGACAGCTCCACAGTGTTAGGTGAGAGGGCTCTGTTGTCTTCCGTCTGTTTGCTCTGTGGCACTGGCTTCATTCCTCATGTTCCATGATGACTGAACTCCAACCATAGCATCTTCATTCCAGCAACAGGAGGGAGGGACCTCTTGGAGTCCTACACAGCACTTCAGCTTGCCTCTTATTGACCAGAATTTATTCATACAGCCACATCTTGCTTTAAGAATGGCTGGAGGCCGGCGCCGCGGCTCACTAGGCTAATCCTCCACATAGCGGCGCCTGATTCTGTCCCGGTTGCCCCTCTTCCAGGCCAGCTCTCTGCTGTGGCCGGGGAGTGCAGTGGAGGATGGCCCAAGTCCTTGGGCCCTGCACCCATGGGAGACCAGGAGAAGTACCTGGCTCCTGCCATCGGATCAGCATGGTGCGCCAGCCGCAGCGCGCCGGCCGCGGCAGCCATTGGAAGGTGAACCAGCGGCAAAAGGAAGACCTTTCTCTCTGTCTCTCTCTCTCACTGTCCACTCTGCCTGTCAAAAAAAAAAAGGAATCGCTGGAAGGGGCCAGCACTGTGGCATAGTGAGCTAAGCCTCTTGCAGCATCACATCCCATATGAGCACTGGTTCAAGTCCCGGCTGCTCTTCTTCCAATCCAACTCTCTGCTATGGCCTGGGAAAGCAATAGAAGATGACCCAAGTCCATGGGCCCCTGCACCCACATGGGAGACCTGGAAGAAGCTCCTGGCTTCAGATCAGCCCAACTCTGACTGTTGCGCCCAATTGGGGAGTGACCCAGAGGATGGAAGACCTTTTTCTCTGTCTCTCCCTCTCTGTCTGTAACTCTGTCTCAAATAAATAAATATTTTAAAAAAAGAGAAATGTGGAATAATATTAAAGGACAAAACAGACTAGGAAATGAACATCAGTAAAAAATGAGATAAAAAGATTAATTTTTTAAAAAAAGAAAAAGAATAGCTAGAAAATATAGTCATTTAGCTAAGTACATTGCCTAAGGTTTGTTAGTAAGGAAGAAAGAAAAGTATGTTGGGAAGCAACTGGTAGTTTCTGTTACAAACAGGAACCTAAAAATTGTTGTAAAATCATTTCTACTGGAGTTGATACTTTGCTTTGAAAGTCAAACTCTTGGGGCCAGCACCGTGGCACAGTAGGTTAATCTTCCACCTGCGGCGCCAACATTCCATGTGGGTGCCAGATTTAGTTGCAGCTGCTCCTCTTCCAGTCCAGCTCTCTGCTGTGGCCCGGGAAGGCAGTGGAGGATGGCCCAAGTGCTTGGGCCCCGCTCCGGCATGGGAGACCAGGAGGACGCAACTGGCTCCTGGCTTCGGATGGACACAACTCCGGTCATTGCGGCCATTTGGGGAGTGAACCAACAGAAGGAAGAAATTTCTGTTTCCCTCTCACTGTCTGTAACTCTACATCTCAAATAAGTAAAAAATAAAATAATAATAATAAAAAAAGAAAGTCAAACTGTTGGTTCAGATCAAACATTACTCATAAGTGTTACTGTCACATTTAGAGATAAAAATATGAGATAACTTATTCAATAAACACAATGTTACTTACCTTTCCAGGGTTAAAAGCATGCTTAAGAAGTTAGGCGTTATTTTCACATTTTTAAAAACAAAATAATAAAATGAGGATGAATTTTTAAAATGGCCTCATAGACCAATGATGGTATAATTACAACCTTTGAGTTATTCAATCTTTATAACAAGATTGTGCTTGGTTTCAGGTGAATGGGAGTGAAATATTGGACAAAAGTAGATTTTATGTCTCTGCATCATGGTTGTTAGCTCTCCGGTGTTGTACAGCTTCACTGTTTGCAGAAAGTTCATGCTGAAAAACGAAAGTAATTAATGGATGAATATGATCAGATTTCTCCACCAAGTTCTCAGCCTGCTAAGGGTAAGACTCTTTCACTTCTTTGTTCATATCTATGCCATCTGTGGTCTTTAAGGACTAGCTTCTTCCACTTAGCATAATCTCTTCAAGGTTCATCCATGTTGTACTGTGTATCAGTACTTCATTTTACATTGAATAATATTCCATTGTATGAACATGTCACGTTTTGTTTTTTAGTTGATGGCCATTTGAGTTGTTTCTGCTTTTTTAGCTTTTATGAGTGGTACTGCTGTGAACATTTTTGTACAAGTTTTTGTGTGAATATAGACTGTCAGTTCTCTTGGGTATATATGTAGAGATGGAATTGCTGGGTCATGTAGTAACTCTAGGCGTAACATTCTCAGGAACTGTCAAGTTGTTTTAGAAAGTTGCTATACCATTTTACATTCCTACCAGTAACATATGAAAGTCCCAGTTGTTCTGCATCCTAACCAACACTGCTACTGTCATTCTCTTTAATTTCATTTTAGTGAGTAAGTTTTAATTTACATTTACTTGATGACCAGTGACTTTAAATATCTTTTCATATGCTTTATTGGCCATTGGTTCATATCCTTTTCTGAAATATCTGTTAAAATATTTTGTACATATTTAATCAAGTCTTTGTTATATATATATATATATACACTTTTAATTATTTATTTATTTATTTGAAAGGCAGAGTTACAGAGAGGCAAAAAGAGAGAGAGAGAGAGAGAGAGAGAGAGAGAGGGAGGTCTTCCATCCACTGGTTCACTCCCCAAATGGCCGCAACGGCTGGCGATGGACCATTCTGCAGCTGGGACTCAAACTGGCGCCCACAGGGATGCCAGCACTGCAGGCAGCAGCTTTACCTGCTACACCACAGCACCTGACCTCTGTTTTATCTTTATCATTATTCTAATCAGGATTTTTATTCAAGTTAAATAGGAACTTAAGTTTTCTAATTCACCAGATTAGACTTCATTTATACTTTATTTTTACAAATTCCCTGAAAAACTAGCTGACCATTAGTGCTAAGTCAGGCTTTTCTTTCTTTTACAGGGAAGAAATGTTTCACTTCTAAATGAATTATGGTGCCTCCCAATTTGAGGAGTTAAAATATATCACCCAAAGCATCTAGGGCATTATACCTCACTAAGTACATCTGCTGCTATAATTGTACTTATGTGGTATTCAAGGCAGGGAAAGAAAAGAAATCAGGAATAGTGTTGCCTTCCCCCCACAAAAAAGAATCAAACAAGCAAACAAAAATCTCTGCTTTATCTACTTTGATATCTCTACATCAGTCCTGTCCCTTCTTAGTGTTACCCTCCATTTTCTGCCTTCACCCCCTTGCGGGTACTTTAGGCAGAACAAACCAGCAGGCATTCTAGAATGCTTGTCTCACCAATCAGAAGTAATGGAATGAAATCCAAACCCTTAACAGAGGGCACAGAACTTGGTTCCCTCGTCTTCCTCATACTCTGTACCCAAGAATAGCTTTCATCTCATAGATGACTTTCTAATTCCTACCATCCCCAGACTATTTTACAAACATCTTTTTTATTGTTTAAGCCTTATAGTACTCTAGTCAGGTGAGTATGTATATTTTGTTTTGTTTTTGTAAACTGAAGATTTTAAAGATCAAATTACTTTCCTGTGATTCTGTTACATCTCTTAGAAAACAATATATAGGAACTGATTAATCAGAACTTTAGAAACCATCTGAACATTCACATCAGGCCACCTGCCACGAGTGTGTGATTCTTACCCCTACATGTCTTAAATTTTTAGCCTTACAACAGCATCTGATAGGTCAATTCCTTTCTACCCTCTTCCAAGAAGCATTAAGTTGCGAGTAGCCTGGGAGATGCGTGATCCAGATGGTATTTTTTGATGTACAGTGTCATGATATTTGACTTACATATCAAATTGTTTTAATTTATTTTGGCTTCTTTATTTTTTGAAGTTCTTTTCAAGAGCAAAGGCACTATTCAGAACGAAATAATCTACTAAGGATTTTCTCCCATCTTCTCTGCAGAAAATCCCTTTTTGTCAGGCTAATGAAGCATTCAAAGAAGACATATGACTCTTTTCAAGATGAACTTGAAGATTATATTAAAGTACAGAAAGCCAGAGGCTTAGAACCGAAGACTTGTTTCAGAAAGATGAGAGAGGACTATTTGGAAACCTGTAGGTACAAAGAAGAGATGGATTCCAGACCCAGGTACAGGATGTTTGATCAAAGACTCCCACCTGAAACCATCCAGACCTACCCAGGATCATGCAGTATTTCACAAAGCATGGAAAACCGGTTACCTCAGTGGTTACCAGCTCACAACAGCAGGCTGAGAATAGACTCTCTGAACTACTGCCAGTACACCAGGGACTATTTCTCACAAAAGCCAGTACCCCTGAACCTTAGTCAGCAAGAATACAATTATGGCTCATACAGTGTAGAGCCTGGAGGTTACAAGCACTTCTCAGGAAACAGTACCAGAGCCCATCAAGCCGGTCATAAACAGATCCATCAGATGAGGACAAGGTGCCCTGAGGAAGGTGGAGAAAGACCAGAGGAGGGGCGGCCCAAGCATAAGAGGAAAAGAAGTTATGAGGAAATGAATGTAGACAAACATAAGAGCATCCCCCCAAATAAGACAGAGATAGAAACAGAAACTGTACAGGTCAGTCCAGCAAAATGTAAGAACCGAAAGGAGAAAAAAAGCCGAAATGTAGCCTCTAAGAAAGAGGAACGTAAGCGTAGAAAAGAGAAAAAGGAACAAGGCAAAGAAAAGACAGAGGAGGAAATGCTTTGGGACCAGTCCATCCTTGGATTTTGAAGCTGTTCAGTTGGTCCTCCTGAGGTTAAGTTGAAAAAAAAAAAAATAGCTGAGGAGCTTGGTTTTATGACGTTCATGTTTGAATCACTTTTCTTATGTGAACAGGTATTTAACTTCTAACAAAACCCAAGCGAACAGGAAGGATTTAGTACACGTGCTTTCCAACACAGAAATGACTTTTCCTCGTTTTCTAAAAGCATTTTCCATTTTTCTTAACATACAATGTAACTTCCCTTTATGAGAGTGGGTCTGCTGTTATTCATCCAAATGCTATGATGGTGGAATTATTTTCCCTTGGGAGATCAATTTATTTCAAGTTGGAGGATTAATAGGCTTTGCAGAATCTATTTCTTGATTGGATTTGTTTTGTTTTTGAGTTGGGTATCTTTCTGTCCATTGGTTTTCTCTACAAAAGCAATTTAGGTTATTCTTCCTTTGTTAGATCTACCTTGCAGCGTATTTTCTAGGTTGGAAAGTGGAAAATAAAATGCATTATAATAATAGTAAGTTTAGGTTACATATAGTATTAAAAGTTCAAAGAGTCTTTCTATAAAATCGGTTTATATTCTGGAAAGGTTTATAATAAAGACTTCTAATTTCTGCACATTGTTGTTCCGTGTCTGTGATCTGTGTGGGCCTTGAGGTACAACGAGATAAACCAGCACTTGGGATGCCTACATCTTATATTAGAGTCCCTGGTTTAAGTTCTGTCTGCTCTGCTTCCAGTCCAGCTCCCTGCAAATGCACCTGGGAGGCAGCAAACCATGCCTCGCGTGCTTGGGTCCCTACCACCCACATGAGAGACACAGATTGAGCTCTGGGCACCTGGCTTCAGCCTAGTCCAGCACTGGCTGTTGTGAACATTTGAGGAGTGACCCAGAAGATGGAAAATCTCTGTGTCTCTAACTTTCAAATGCATGAAAATATGTTTAAAAACTAAAAAAACAATGCTCTGTTCCCAAGCAACAGTGATTTCCTTTTGGTAAGGAAGAGCAATGATGGCATTTTGTTCTTCAGAGTCAAGATCTTTTGAGTAAGTCATGCTTTAACATTGTAAAAATTCCTGTCTACTATACCAGGCTTGTTCAGATTTGAACGCAGTTTAGAGGGTAGAGATCTATAACCACAGTTTGTTGTTTTTTTTTTTTTTCAAGTAGTTGAAACTGAAAGGAGAAGAATTTATAAGAAATAAGAGGCTATTAAATGATTCTGCCTTGGGAGATGGATGTTATAGTGCAGCAGGTAAAGCTAGCATTTGGGTTACCCACATCCCACATTAGAGTGCCACTTGAAGTCCCTGCTGCTCGGCTTCCAGTCCAGCTCCCTGCTAATGCACCTGGGAAGAGTGAATGATGGCTCAAGTATATGAGTTCCTGCCACCCATATGGTACATCCCATGGAGTTGCTGGCTCCTGGCTTCAGCCTGGCCCAGCCTCAACTGTTACGGACATTTGGTGAATGAATCTGCGGATGAAAAATTTGTATCATTCTGCCTTTCAAATAAATAAATCTCTTTAAGAAATTAATTCAATTTTGACAATACTCAAGAATATTTGGCAAGATACCAAGGTATAGCACTGACTGTTCCAGCCATTTGGGAAATGAATCAACAGATGGAAGGTGTCCCTGTGTGTTTGTGTTTATGTCGTTCTGCCTTTCAAATAAATCATAAAAGGTTGTTTTATCTTGGTAACACCATAAGAATATTCAAGGGGACAGTACTGTGGCATAGAAGATTAAGCCTCTGCCTGCAGTGCTGGCATCCCATGAGGGCACCAGTTCAAGATCCATCTGCTCTATTTCTGATCCAGCTCCCTGCTAATGCACCTCGGAAAGCAGTGGAAGATGGTTCAAGTGCTTGGGACCCTGCATCTACAAGGGAGACCCAGAGAAGCTCCTTGCTTCTGGCCCACAAAATAATTTGGTCTGGCCCTGCCAAGACAACCACAAGCAGGATTCAAAACTGAATAATTATCTATAGCAGCCTTTTTTTTTTTTTTTTTGACAGAGTTAGAGACAGAGAGGTCTTCCTTTTCCATTGGTTTACCCCACAGTGGCCGCTACAGCTGGCGCACTGCGCCAATCCAAAGCCAGGAGCCAGGTGCTTCCTCCTGGTCTCCCGTGCGGGAGCAGGGCCCAAGCACTTGGGCTATCCTCCACTGCCTTCCCGGGCCACAGCAGAGAGCTGGACTGAAAGAGGAGCAACCGGGACAGAATCTGGCGCCCCAATTGGGACTAGAACCCGGGATGCCAGCACTGCAGGCAGAGGATTAGCCAAGCGAGCCACGGCGCCAGCCAATAGAAGCTTAATTTTTAAGTTTGTAGTTTTGTGTGGCCTGCAAATGATGTTACAAATATCCAAATGGCCCTTGGCAGATAAAAGTTCCCCACTCCTGGTAGTTTTCAAAAATTTCTTTTTTTTTTTTAAAGATTTTATTTATTTGAGAGGTAGAGTTACAGTAAGAGGGAGAGACAGAGAGAAAGGTCTTCCTTTTGTTGGTTCACTCCCTAAATGGCTGCAATAGCTAGAGCTGCACCGATCGAAGTCAGGAGCCAGGTGCTTCTTCCTGGTCTCCCATGCGGGTGCAGCACTTGGGCCATCCTCCATTGCCTTCCCAGGCCTCAGCAGAGAGCTGGATTGGAAGAGGGGCAGCCAGGACTTGAAATGGCACCCATATGGGTTGCCGGCGCCACAAGCTGAAGATTAACCTAGTGTGCCACCGCGCTGCGCTGCAGGCCCCTTCAGAAATTTCAAAACAGAAACTTGTAAATGCAAATGACCCTGTTGTCCATCCCCCTCCAATACACAAACTGATTAAAGTATAATCTGGTGAAGCTGAGCCCTCCTGGGGTACTTCTTTGTTTGCCTTTGCTGCCTCGAGGCACCTTCAGAGAGTACTTTTAAGAGGGCAGAACCTAAAATGAGTAGAAGGTATAGAGAGGGAAATTCTAGCTAAATTTGGGAAATAATTGTCAAAAATTAGGTGTGGGAAAAAGTAGAATTGACCTTTTTTTAAATATTTATATGAAAGAGCCACATGGAGAGGCAGAGAGAGGTCTTCAATCTGCTGGTTCACTCCCCAGTTAGCCACAACGGCCAGAGTTGTGCCAGTCTGAAGCCAGGAGCTTCCTCCGGGTCTCCCACACAGGTGCAGGGGCCCAAGGACTTGGGCCCTCTTCTGCTGCTTTCCCAGGCCATAGCAGAGAGCTGGATCGGAAGTGGAGCAGCCAGGACTCGAATCAACACCCATGTGGGATGCCGGCACTGCAGGCGGTGGCTTTACCCGCTACGCCACAGCATAGGCCCCAGAATTGACTGTTATATGAACTAGAATTGAAAGGCCATGTGTCCAGCTCTCTGCTGTGGCCAGGGAGTGCAGTGGAGGATGGCCCAGGTGCTTGGGCCCTGCACCCCATGGGAGACCAGGAAAAGCACCTGGCTCCTGGCTCCTGCCATCGGATCAGCGCCGTGAGCCGGCCGCAGCGCGCTGGCCGCGGCGGCCATTGGAGGGTGAACCAACGGCAAAGGAAGACCTTTCTCTCTGTCTCTCTGTCTCACTGTCCACTCTGCCTGCCTGTCAGAAAACAAAAAAAAAAACGCGCCCGATCTCGTCTGATCTCGGAAGCTAAGCAGGGTCGGGCCTGGTTAGTACTTGGATGGGAGAGGCCATGTGTGTGCAGTGTGCCAGGAAGGAACCTGAGACAAACAGAACCTGAGCTCTTTTCCTCAGACAGCTTGAAGACCAAAGAGGAAGCCAAAGCAGCTGCAGGGTAAGCAGTCCCAGGTATGAAGAGCTACAGCAGCCATTGGGAATGATAATTGAGGGGAGCAGGAGCACATCATTTGTTGGGGTAGGAGTAGGCCTTGGGATAAGACCACAAAGCAAGAGACATCTAAGCAGACACCCACCAAGAATCAGTTCCCACTTGTAAGTAAAGAAGGCAGGGAACACATGTTTCTCACAGAGGTACCACCATATGCCAAGGTCTATAAGCAAGAAAACAGGTGCATGTTCAGCAGACTGAAACTCCCTGGGTGACTATAGAAGCAGTCATTGGAGTTGAGGCTGGAAAGAAAGGAAGTCACGCAACACCATGTTGAAGAACTTGGTTTTGCCCTTGGGACTAAGAAACCACTAAAGACTTTAAGCAAGTTCCAGTTTTCTCTTTCTACAGGATCTGAGCCCTCTCACAGTTGGATCTGTTTTAACCTGGATTGTCCCTATCTGACAGGGTTCTTGTCAAGGGCTCCAATGATCTGCGTGTTGACAAATCCAATGGACAGTTTTTGTTTATTTCAAGTCAGTCTTGCAAGAGCTTCCATCTGACTGGCCAATCTCTCATCCTCTGTTGGCTTCCACAGTGCTGCATTCTTTGGATATCCCTGCCTCAACTATCTCCAAATGCATCAGGGTCCACTCATTTCTAATCTCATGTCCGAAGTGAATCATCCACACCCATGGCTCTAAATTGACCTGTGTGCTGGTGACATTTCCATTCCTAGACTTCACCTTCCTCCTGAGCTCTAGGCTCCCCAGCTGCTTTCCTAGATATTTCTACCTGGAGCACCAGTACTCACTTCCCTCGTCACCAGGCATTGTTTTCTCCATCTCTGTAAATAGCAACTCCAGCTCAACTGTACAACCCAAAAGTCACTCAAGTCATCCTGACCTTTCTCTCCTACATCAGACCCACCAGCAATTCCTCCTGCTTATATCACTAAATTATCTCTGCTTTCATCCAGTTCTCTCCATCTTCACTGCCACCACGCTGTTCCAGCACAGCACTTATCCCCATACCAAACTGGGCAAGCAAGTCAGAGAAGTTCTACAAAACTGAAAGAATCATCACAGGTTCTGGGCTGTGGGTGAATGCAGAAATTCATGCAGAAACACCAAGAGATCAAACCGTGTTGTGGTCATCTAAACAGTTAATGATTTCAGAAATATCCACAAGCATTTCCTTCCTGAAGGACAAAGCCGTCCCTGAAAGGAAAACATCCAGGTGGAGAGACCCATAGAAGCAGGGTGGTCACACAAAGAGTGAGGGAAAGCACGGGGGGAGGTCCCCGGCAGGTGAGCGTACCCTTGGCAAGCCAGACATGAGAACCTCTAGGCAATCGAAAAGCTTCCCTGAACCAGGCTTAGCGCTGAGAGGCAGGGAAGCAGCCGTGTTCTGCGCTTTCACAATAACAAAGAGGCCCCGAAGACTCACGTCAAGCTGGGAAAGCACCGTAGTCCGTTCCCCTCTCGGCAGAAAGAGCCTCCAAATGAACACAATTCATTTGGATTTTGGAAAAAAGGGGGACACTGTGGTCTAGCTACATGTGAAGTTACAAGAAAAAGCTAAAAGTAACTAAATTTCCCCCCCCCCCATTTTTTTTTTTTTAAGTTTTCATTTCTTTGAAAGGCAGAGCAACAAGGACAGAGATGGAGATTGTCCATCTGCTGGATCACTCCCCAGTTGTCCACAATAGCCTGGGCTGGGCCAAGCTGAAACCAGGAGCTCAGAACTCCATCCAAATCTCCCAAGGGGAGGAGCAGCGAGTCAAGTACCTGAGCTACCACCTGCTGTCTCCCAGGCTGCACATTAGCAGTAAGCCGG